GTATAAGAGTACGCACTGATGATTTCTGCTTATTAGTGCCATCTGGGTAAGATGAAGTTATACCATTCACAATCCAATGCTAAACTTGAGATAAAGGTGCAACAGTGACCTGTATGTAGTTTATAGTTTGATCGTACTGACGATTTTATGTTTAAGCGTTGTGTGGATGTAATTTTTACCGCTCATAGTTTTAGTTTTTTGTAAGGTACGTACCAGTTCTTTTATTTTACAGTAATAATGTTCATTAGCTGTAACTTTTAAGGTGTCGTTATACACTAGCAGTTTTATACTTTCTATACATCAAAAGCTTTTAACTTTGAAAACATTAGGTTATGTACAAATGTACAAGAGTGCGCAATACTTGCGATACGTAGTCTTATAGATACATATAATACTATAATGAATTATTTAACTCTACTGCTTTGTACTGCTTCTCAAGTTGTGTGGTGGTGGTTATGGTGATGTTTGTTTTTTAATTTTTACTTCCTGAGCGTAAGCGAATGAAGTATTGTAATCGAGTCCGTCGACCGACTCTCTACTTTTACGTTTTCTCGAATTTCAAGACCCCTAGAGTACGAAGAAATATGGATCCCGTTGTATGTGTAGTCTGTAGTCACTTGTCCCTATTTATTTTCACCTTAGAAATAAAGATGTAATGCGCACTCATAAGCGTTCAAATGCGCACTCTTGTGCAGTGGACTGTCTAAGAGTGCGCATTTACACATCTTGACAAAAATTGAAATTACTCTTAAAATATAGTGGTCTTGGGACGTACAATTAAATATATCTGATCTCTAAACATGTATATGACGAACCCATATCATAAAATTTGTCTATCCAAAAAAATTAAAAAGTTGTTGACAGTTTTACACTAAGTGCGTACTCTTGTACACATTTACCCTACAACTTGTACGCCAATACAACAACTTCTGAAACTTTCTTTACTTGCTTTTCATTGCACCATGCCCAAAATTCCTTATAAGCCTTCTCATATCGGTCCTTACATGTTGTCGGTATTAGGTCTTGAATTGCATTCTCTGCTTCAGCAACTATATCCGAAGGAATAGAATCGCTAGAGGAATCTTTGTTTTCCATCTTCGATTGGACACACAGAACACAACACACACACTTGTTAGGAAAATAACTAATTTCGCCTACCTAATTGACGATTATACGCCAAGGGACAAAGATGGTTCAATTCCTGGTGGCATTTGACTATTGCCATCTTCATTTGACGGGACAACAGAGTTCTAGTTTGTTTTTTATTGAATTGTCCATTTTTAATTTAAAAATTACTCTTTCAACAATTTGCGCTTATCTAAAAACGTCAAATTTCGTCGCTGCCAACCGTATTGAAGAAAAAATTCAAGCAGAGCAGGGTAACCAACCCCACTTTTTATCAAGTGGACAGGTAGAAATGGCGTGGACTTTATGTATTAACATTTCAACTTTTCAGTGTATTTACTGGGGTATTTATGAATGAATGACGTGACAGATTCTTTGGAGGGAGAATAGATCATAATATCAGAGAACATAATTACAATTATATATAGTGAAGCAAGGTTTTTATTGGCATCAACTATTTAAATTTGGCGCTTGCCTTTGGCGGTTGAGGACTCCATTGTCAATAAGGGTGGTTTTGCAAAATCAGCCTCTATGTCGCTTCTCTATGTTCTCTGATAATATGTACTTGGTGTTTAGATTGTTTAGTATGAATCATGTGATTGGTGAATAATTCGACATCTGTGATTGGCTAATAAATAATATTGTCATAAATGCTAAAGAATTAATGCAGTTTTCTATTATTTAATTTCAATTGATCTGTCTAGGCGTTGCTGCGGTATAGAAAGCTAATGATATAAATAATCCAAACCACCCAATTTGTGCTTTCCATCAGAGGTTTTGAAGAAAGTTATGAATGAGGTTTCCTCACGTTAATTCTATAGTATCCGAAATACTACAACGTTATATGGCCCCACTAAACTTAATAATGGGATGTCATCATTTCCTTTGTGCGGCTGGTAGATTAAACCAACACAAACACAATTTACAACCGTGGCTTTGCCTTATTAGCTGCGCCTTGTCGTCTTCACAATACCCAAATTTTACAACAGCCATAGAACCTTGTAGTGTTTTGGAGACTATACCACCACAGTATATCATATAGTAGAGACATCTCGTCAAATATTGGAATCATGGCCGACTAGTATAAAGATTATGGCCTGTCCAAAGGTACCATACGTGCTGCCATCTATTAATAATTCAAAAACGACAAAAGAATTATTAACACTTTTTGAAAGACACAAAAGCATTCATACCGAAACAAACGACCATTAACGTTTTGAAGTCTCATAATGTCAAATCAAATTAAAATTTTGCTAAATTATTAAGTGTAATTATTAATAGATGGCAACACATATGGTACCTCTTGGACAGGCCATAATCTTTATACTAGTCGGCCATGATTGGAACAAGGTGTCCTTACCCAACCGTTGTTATTAGGCGGTATTTTTGAAACGAAGTGGAATATTGGTTGCCTAAATTACAACTACAGCTCGTCCGTAAAACAATGTAAAAGCATGATACCACAGTAGAGATAACAATTGTTATCTCTACTGTGATGATACCATAAACATCGGATGAATATTAAGAAACTGAAACCAATTTTTGGAGTGTGGTATGAAGACTACGAAGAAAATACCATTTTGAACAATAAAAAAGAATTGTGCTTATATTTATTTTATTCATTAATAAAAGTCTATCACTTTACCATGATACAATAAATACTAGGTATGATATTGCGCTCGTACGGAGTGGGGGAGTGACGTCACTCGGTGAGTAAACACAGGCATTTCGCGCGTATTCTGCGACGTTTTTCTGTCTTCCACGTATTTTTTAGAAAGTTTAGTGGCTATACGTTATGTTTTAATAATTTTATAAAGTCACGACGATATGTTGTGGCGTTTTTGGGTGTAATAGCGATAAACAATCAAGACATTTTCAAAAAGACTTACAATTTTATTCATTTCCAAGAGACAAGTATGGGTTATTTCTTGTTGTCGTTCGGATTCTTTTATAGTAAAAAATGCAAGAGTGTGTTCACAGCATTTTAGTGAAGACGATTTCGAACGAAATTTGCAACACGAACTTCTGAATTATCTTCCTGAAAAAGGAAAAAAAACTAAAGTCTGGAGATCAGCCAAGTTAGTTAAAGAAATTTGTTCTAGGGATAAAATCACAGAAATTAAGTAGGTTATTTTACTTGAATATTGATATAAATCAAACAAATTCAATTACAAAAAATGTTTTCAAAGAACATCTTATAGGACTCTTTTTTAGCAAATATTTAATATTTTCATTTATTTTATAGCACTGAAACCAACAACGCAAGTGCTGCTTTGGATGATAAAACAGAATCTACAAGTAAATCTGTTGGGTATATTGAATATATATTATTTATTGTATTTACTCAAGGAAAGTGCTTTTTTTTTGAAGAATAACTTTTATGTTTGCACGGTTTTTTTTTGCATGATGTATATTTCTTTCTCAAGGGAAACGATTATTTGAAGACCTAGTATATCCAATATTTAATTATGTTTTTTACATAGTACAAATACAGATCAAGATATACAGAGAGAAGATCTAGAAGCAAAAATTGCTTATCTTAAAAACAAAACGACGAACTTGTTTTCATTGCTTGACGAAAATCAAGCTATGAAAACAATTTTCACTCCAAGAAAAATTGTTAATTAACATGTAGATTACAGTTCAATAGTACAATGTATTTATTTTTAGTGGTTACTGTTTCTTGTACTCAGTTTTTGAAAGTTTAGAACAGAATTTCTAAAATAGATTTCTGTTTAAGATAATTATGTTCACGTTAAATGTGCACAATTACCATAACAACGAGTCTGTTCATGATAATCAATAATGAAAACCTAAAAAAAAGCAAAAAATGGATAATTCTGAAGATCTTGGCATTTTCAGATAACCTGTGCGCTACTAACCAGAAAAATAGCACTTTTTTTATAATCATCTCCAAATTAAAGCCGCACTTTTCTATTGAGTACACGAAAGATAATATTAAACGCGAAATTTTAATTTGTTACACACAATAGAAATACATATCAAACTCCGTTAAATTCCTTTTTACAATTTAATTCAGCTAAATGATGTAAATTTAGTTTTCAGGGTTTTTAATGCAGCATTATAATTATTATATTATAATATAGAGATATTATAATGCTGCATTAAACAACCTGAAAACTAAATTTACATCTGTTGTATAATACATTTTTTAAAATACATAACGAATTATAACAATAAAATTAAAAAATATTAGCGATTCTTCGTGCTTTTATGCTGAAATTCCACTAGTTCTACTCACCGAGTGACGTCACTGCGCGAACTGGGATAATTTTGAGCCACACGAGTATCATACCTAAAGAATTATTGTATCATGTCACTTTACCAAGTTAATTTCAACATAAACATATCAATTACCTATTTTGTCAATGCCTTCAATTTTCGCCAAGTGTTAACCGTTTGAAGAGTTAGAAAGTGAACGCTGTTGTTTTCATCTTCCCTGGGAAAAGTACTTTGATGTTTTTGGTTGAATTGTTGTTGTTAATTAAATTAGTGGCGTGATTCTGAGAACCTTTTCATAGTAACATGGACTGCAGTGGTAGACCACCTCGTGATTGCAGGCACAATGAAAAAACCTGCTTCGGGGGCTTCTTTAAATTTCCCTTGGAATCTGTAAGATAAGAAAAATAAAGAAGTTTATTCTATTTTAGAACCATAATCTTATTTATAAGCACCCAAATGCGGGCATAAATTGGCCTTTTTAGCACAAATCTGTCAAAAATTGCTAAGCAACGATTGATTATTCATTTAGGTACGTTATTTATTCAAACAAGCTTTGATATTCGACACTTTTATTGAAATTGAGGAAAATAATACATTATTCTTTACTACAAAAATTAAAAGTTCACTAACAAGACCGATCCTTCAGCTGTCACATTTTGATAACGTAAATCATGAAGTTCTTCGCGTCTACAGGCTCCATGTATTCCAAAAGCTGTAACAACCTAGAAACGAGATTTATTAATTAAGAAATATTAGAACTAACGAACAGGTTTTATCTTGACTAACAAATATGTAAGATCTGGTGCCTTTAACATAAACTCTTCAATTTCCTTTCGTTGAAGTACCCATGACTTTTTAGCTTCGTCACCCACGGAGTTACTCTTCATATATTCAGTAACCAGAAGAAATTTCGAGATATCGACGTTTTCTTTAATTTTTAACATTTTTTTGAGCTTAGAGTAGGTACACCACAGTGATGAAGGTTTGTAAACTTTTGACTATAGAAAACGAAGCACAATTTATTAAATACAATAATTTTAAATACTATCACTTACCATTTGAGACAAGTATGCCATCACGAATTTTTCATCGCAATTAGTAACATTTTTCGAGCACCGCCACTCGCAAAATTTGTCATACTCTCTCGTGTAAAATTCCTTTGATTTATGGGGAATCAGTTTTCTCTGGGCGACCTCAAATTCTTCAACAATTTCTTTTGAAACATTTTCTGCTTTTTGACTTTCCATTTTCAAAACAGAATTATTTAACAAATAAACAACGTAGAATCCATAGCAACATCAAGCTAGCCAGCTATGTATTAAAGTTTGCATCGGCACAATTCACACAATCTTGCCGGAAATACTCAATATTTCGTTAAAAATATTTTAGAAACTAAAATAGAATAAAACGTTGTATGTACCACGTGCATAATTGTCGATTGTGGCACTCGGGAAATTAAAAGCCCTCCTTCGTCGGGCTTTAAACATTCCCTCGTGCCACAATCTCCCTGATTATGCCCTTAATACATAAATAACTAATATTATTCTACAATCAATAAAAAATTATTTGGTATCCAATTTTTACAGCACAGTGAAAATGCCAATAGTTGTAATGATTTAGGATCTATTTTACTAGCAATTGAATCTAAAGAGAGTAACCAGTGTCAAATTATTAATACAGTTTTAAGCTGAACAACTTTTGCACATAAATCTGTGGAAGTAAATATGACAGACTACAGACATCTGGACATGGGGAAACAAAATTCTTTAAGTTATGTCTGTGGGTACTTAATGAAGAAATGCTTGATGAAATATACCCGTGAAACATGTAGTTATTTTGCCGTTGCACGTAATGTCATCATATATGATAAACTTCTCTCTCCCATCAACCCCTTTGATGATGATTCACCATTTGGTAAACCTAAAGCTGGCCATTTACGTTCCTACGCCGCAGTACGATTGTATTGGATGCAACTGTTGTAGAATTCTGTTAAAAAGCAGCAGTGCACACACACGTTACAACCTTGCAGTTAAAAATTTGCGATCGTGATGACAACATGTCCGACGAAATGACGAAAGTGTACTTTTATAGCTGCCCTCATGGCCTGAATAACATACACTGTCGAGTCGTGTCCACACATGATCAAATTTCCATCCAATACAACACGATTGTACTGCTGCAGACAGACTTGTTCACCAACCGTCCACATCCAACCGATTTGTTTGATCGCATACACAGACGTTCAAAAACACTTCAATTTCGTCGTATCCAACACAATTGTACTACGGTGTTAGAACGTGAGTGGCGGGCTTAAGATGCTACATGAAGCATTCACCTTTTATGTTGCAGCCCTAGAAAAACGATTTGCTTCACTATTTTCTACCAACTCAATTTTACCTTCATGTGGCCGATATATAAAAGCAGCCCTCGTATCTGTGTCCATTCTAGTCCGTTACGTACATTTCTTATGGGCTTTTCAAAAGCTGTCCTTACTGTGTAGTATTCTGTGGCTGTTTGCAATCGTTGAAAAATCTTTTAATGTGTAACCTATTGCAGTTTACTTTTCTATAAACTAGAGAGATATTACCAACAATCGTATTATCTGTTTCCCATGTAGGCGGTAATTTTCATTCATTTAACTTTCATTCATTTAGTTTTGTCGGTTGTGATTAATTTCTGCTAAAATTTTAGCAGTATTATTTCCTGATGAACTGATTAAGGTGACCAACTTTCCTAGAGACACAGGCGGGACGGGAGAACCCCCACTAAAACAAAAAAATCGAAGAGAGAAATGTGATGGTACTTTGCTTACCTAGGCTTATAAGGAATAATTATAAGAATTATAATTCGAATACTAGACAATCATTGAAATTTGCTGTATTGATTAGACGTAAGGAGGTCGAAACTACAGTCTACAGATTTTCATTGCGTTGTCTAAGTGTTTGTTAGTAAAAAATCAAAACCGGAAGAAAATTTCAAGACAGAATTAAAGAACACAAATCACTCTTCCTTAATAAAAAAGATCATTCAACATATGCTAAACACCTGCTCGAAAAAAATCACACATTTAATGAAAATTTTAGCATATTACACACAGAACGTAAAGGTCTAAAATTAAATTCGTTGGAATGCTTAGAGAATAGAGATTAATATATAGAACAATCTTAATACTTATACTAATTAACGACCAAACTGAGATGTACAGGGTGTTTGCGAAATGCACTGACAAAAAAATTGGAGGGGTTCCCGAGAGCAGAAGGAATGAAAAAAACTCCTGTTGTATTATCAAAAGTTGCAAAGTAAATTTATTCTTTTAATTCACGTTTTGTAAAAACATAGCAACCAAAAACTGACAACGAAAGGTGAAGTTTGAAAAATGTCAAGTAAAAAGTCTAAAGTATTTTTTCAGAAACAATCAATTGGAAACAATTTTAATTGGATGTTTAAACATTTTGGAGTAAAGAATTAATTTAAATGGTAGTAATTAGTGAACAGGGTCGCGGATCTTCTTTCCCGTTTTTGGCGTTCCGCTGTGTTTTTTTCAGTTCTTATAACAACGCGGTTCTGGACAGTGGTCCGCCGATCTTGGTTCCATTGGAATTCCGACGTGAATTTGCAGGCCGAACATTGCCTCATCAGTGATGACTCTGATGAGGCAATCTTCGGCCTGGAAATTCCTCCTGGTAGAGACGCTGCGCTTCATGAGCAGTTCCAAATGCACTTCTGTAAATCAAGACCATATCGGTCATTTTGGCATTAGAAAAAGCTGTCACGTGCTAAAAGTCAATAAATTTGACGAAATTGTTAGAGTTACTAAGCAATGAAGATTACGTTTTTTTTTTAATTTTTACAATGCACCTACAATGGTACATTTTTCTTAGTAACCTTATTATCTTTTTAATCACTATTAACTCAGTAGCGTACATGCTATTTTGACCAAATTTTCAATCAATTTTATTTCGAAAACTAAAACACTTTTATTAGAACATTTTTTTCTTAATGATATCTACTCATCCAGAGCAATTTTCAGTTTTTTTTGTCGGTGCATTTCGCAAACACCCTGTATAAATCTCATTTACTTAATCTTAAGTTGTAAATCTGTTCCGTCAAGTTCAGATATATAAATTAACATTATTAGCTTAGATACATAGTCATATTTCAGTCATAGCATTCACAGCAGTGCAGTCGGTGAATGAAGACCAGTGCCAGTGTGGTGAGTTCCATCCATGTTTAAATTCTTTTGCACGTTTTGTGGACTCGGTGCTATGCTGTGATTTGACCCAACAAGTGAGCTGTCGCCAGTGAGTTTTCAGTTTTTTTTAGATCTCGTTTCTCCTTTCTCTGCAGATTATTATCTGGAAGTCCTTCGGATAAAAATCCTCCGACAAGCTTTCAAGCATCCTGGTTCGTCAGGAACAACCAGACTCCTCGGCAGGCTAACATTCCAAAGTTAAGGCAACGGTGATCTGCCGTAGGCATTTCCCCTTCCACACAAAAGAAAAAGAAAAAAGAAAACAAGTTACACTTCTGGTAACCTGTGTATCGAAATATTTACGTATAGCAGTGTTCTATCAATATATTATTTTGAATTCGCAAAGTGTTTACTTTTCCTAATTTAGTAAAGATGAAGTTTAAACAAGTAAGAGCCTCAATATAGTCATTACCTTTTATATATAGGTAGTGTTACTGTTACGAAGGAAACCCATACGCCGCCCCGGTACGACGCCTATGGGTTCTAGCACGTACGGCGATGATGGGTGACTGATCGTCGGTGACGGCGGCCGGACGGCGTTCGCTAAAGAAAAACCTGAAAGCGGAAGTGTCGATTGCACCGTCTAGAAAAACCTCGAACCAGCGTTCGCGATCCATCCAGATGAATGTATGGCTTTAAATAGAGGCCACCCTCGGGAACGATGATTATTCAGTTACCGAGTCGAGTGGAATTGAGACAATTAGACCCAATTTACAAAAAGTGAAGTTAAAGTTAATTCGCGATTAACTTTTAATTGAGGTTCGTCGCTAGGCAACGTGCAGGTTTTAACCAATCACGGCCTCATATTCCACATTTTAATCCTCTGCTAAACTAATCGAGGATTAAATATTTAATTCGCTGTTCTATAAACCGGTCCTTAGTCGTGTAAATTCGAGTTACTAAGAAATAAATTGCTGAGTTTTACCCACACCGATTTTAAATACCCGTTCAACGTAACAATCTACTGTGGGGATTTCTGTGATATTGAACACTTGGATTTAATTTTTGGTCGATAAAAAAAAATAAATTTATAAACATAAAAAAATTAAAGTTGGGTGAAATAAAGAAATATATATACCATCACTATTTTACGACAGTTCGAACTTATGCTAAAATAACCACTTTTGAACAGTAATCTTGTTGATTATACATAGAATAAAATAGAAGTGTTTTATTTCACTCAAATTTATTTTTTTTGTTTATAAATTTTATTTTTTATCAACTGAAAATGAAGTAAATATCTAAGTGTTATATGCTATATATATTTATAAGCGTAGTTTACCAATCCCTCAAAACCCGTTCACAAAATGTCCTGAAGTGTAAAAAAAAAAATAGGTTTGCGTAGCGACGCCGACGCCATATATACGTCATATTTGCAACGTACTAAATTATTAAGTTAGGTTATTAAGAAATTTGTAATTAAATCAAAATAAAATACGTTTGAGAACTTGCACTTTTTAACTTTGTAGTGTGTCTTTATATTTTGACGGAATTTCAAACAAGAAAATTGCGTAGTATTCATTGTACACCATCTCTCTATTCAGCAAAAAACAATGGACTGTTCCGTACAAAGCGGGACGATAACGAAAATTCGGGACAAATCGGGATAGAATTTTGAGTGGAACCACAAGCAAGAAACCTAAACCTGCGCTGCTTAAATCGGGACGGTTGATCACCTTAGATTTGCTATAGGTCCGTAGTTAAACACTTTATGGTACGAATTCCGAATTATGCGGTAGGAATGACATAAGCTGGAAAGTTATTGATAAAATAGCATAGAGTTAGATGTGATAAGTAAAAATCTGCAGAAAATGCTGATAAATTTAAATGACGACTGGATTATTTTATGCGCACAGTCAATGGAGGTAACTGAATGCTATTTAGCTTTGAAGTTATATTCAGTTGAATCATCCAACATAAAAAAAGTAGTCATTTGTCGGATGGACCCTATTACAATACTTCTTTAGTTTTCGTAAAAATACTTCTATCAAATTCAATGAAACACTTTATTTTAGTCCAAGAAAATTTAAGCAACATTTTGCACTAATTTATCTCCCACATTAGTATCCTTTTTTTTACGATTAGAACATTTTTTGTATGCATGTAGGTTTACCTTGTTTTAATAGCACTTGGTTGATAATTGTGTGTGTGCTTAGTGATTTACTTGAAAGTAGGCGAAATGCGTACAGTTCAGTTTGCAAGAAGCAATTGAAGTTCATCACAGTCTAATTTTATAAGAAAGTGGTTTGTTGCGACCTCCCGTATCTTCCACTCGTGAAATGTTATGAGAGTGGGCAAATGAACACCATGCTCACTGATTTCATTCATTCTTATTCACATAGTGGCAGTGGTCGGAAAACTTTTCACTTTTTACAGTTTTGAACCGTGTTTTAAAAATATTGTTCGCCATGTGTAATGTGTACGTTTATGTTATGAGTGTGTTGCGGTAAATGTTACTTGACATACTTACTTGGAAATAAAATGAAAAAATATCAAATTTAAGACAATGCTAAATTTAGTGGAGAGAAATTTTGTAAATTATGGATGTGAAAACCAGACGATATTTTACTCCAAAGGTTTTGAAATTTGCTATTAAATAATTTGATTTGAAGCGGTTTAGTGGTTTAGTAAATTTATTGTGTTGCATAATAACTCTTACAATTTGAGTTTAATACTTTCTCGTGTATAAAGAAGAATGACATAGTTTGGTGTTATTTTATAAATTAGAGAGTAAATAGGGAATACAGGTAGGTACTTTTCTTTTGAATAATATAGTGATAGTGATTCAGATTGTGTTAAATGCCACATAATCCATCAATAATTAGTAGACATCATTAAACTTGCATTTGTTATAATTTTTTAAATATAGTTATTATTAAAAATGTCACTACTAAGTTTGGCGTACTTACTTCACTGCTTGTGACGAAAAAAATACAAGTCTTTGTAGGGTAATTTTTTTAGTACTTAATCGAAAATCCTTCTACAGATATGAAGGATTACTAATGCTGTTGACACACTTATAATGCAAATTATCGGTACCGATAACAACGACCTTCTAACAGAAAAATTGAAGTGTGCTTCATTTATAAGAAAACTTAATAATTTTTGTAAATTTAAATAATCATTACATTATTCTTGCAAATATTTTTTGTATACGTTAAACATCGGTTGCGAGGTGGGAGAAAGAAAATTTTAGTCATTTTGCTGAAAGTGAGAACATTTTTGAAATATGCTTGAAAGTCTAAGCGAGTGTTAACAGAAATAAAACAAATGATAAGTGATTAACAATTATAGGATAATTGACATAAGAACAACGAACTCAATATTACTACAAAAATTATAAATGCATACCTACGTTTTTAAATCGATATAAATATTACCCATATAAAAAATTGTTATATATATTACGTTGTAGTCATTTACTGAAATCCGTCACTTCGTAAATTTCCGGGGCGATCCATGAAGTGCCGTCATTGAATGTAATTAAATTGTTTACGCTAATCGACGTCGTCTTTTCATAAAGAAACGGCTTATAATATAAAATAGTGTTCTTCAGCACCAGGCTATTTTAAATGAACTGCACTTCGTGCAGACCCGGCTTGTTATATAGCAGGAAGAGAAGGAGCTGAAGAGACTAAAAGAAATATCATCTTTAGAGATTATTTATTTGCACATGATACGATTTTGTGGTATCTAGTGACTGTTACATTTGATTTGAAGTTTTATTATTTCGACATTGCATTTTTGAGGGTTGATAATTATATTTGGAATAACCTTACCCTCCAAAAAAAGATTTCTTTATAAAAAAGATCCATTATTAATATTATCAATGTTAATTAAACTTTGTCAAAGGCGAAGAAAGCCAAAAACAACTTCAATCAACACAATAACATGGTAACACTATTTGGTGGCTTCAGTTCAGCGTTTTAGTGAAGATATTATTTTATTGTCTTATGCATTAATCAATATTTTTTTGTGAGTCCTCTATAAGTTGAAATAAGCATAAGTATATAATGTTAAAGTACATAAATGTAAAGAAGCGTGCTACGCGCATATTTCAAATGAGTTTTTTTGAGATGACGTCATCAAGTTTTTGGGAGGATAAATAGATACTTTTTGATTAAAAATTTGTCATGCCTATGATAACTTTAAAACTTGTCAAGATTTCAAAGCGTTTGGATTTGCAGATTCAAAATTAAATTGCAATATGTTATGCTTTCTTTTTTAAAAATCTGGACGTCTTAGGCAAAAACTCAACACGGATTTATAAACTACACGTGTAGAACGATGTTATTTTATGCAATTTAAAACCCATTTACTATGTCTTGTACAATTTTGAGGTGACGTGGTCAAATTGTTGATGGACATGATTAATCAAAATTTGGTTAGCAAGCATCTTACCGTCTACATGATATTCGTAATGCACATATGAAATTTGACAACAATTGTAGTATCGGAGATTATTTGGTAATTGTATTTTTATAAGACAGACAGACATACAGACAAACGGAGGGCGTCCCATTTTTTCGTACTCTGGGGGTCATGACCTATCGAGAAAATCTGAAATCTCGATTACAATACTTAAGTAAAAAGACACACACGCTCACACGCACGATTAATCCCGTTGCATAACTATGTAAATTTATATTTAGAATAGTAGGCAACACAGATAATAATTTTATTATATAAACATTTAAAAAATAGCTGCTATATAATGATAGTACCACTGAACTTCTTTCTATTTAATGATGAAAAGTACAGCGTCGTCAACGAGTACCTACTGTTTGAGGTGGCAATGGAATGAACCAATTCTAAGAAAATTTTCTTGCGCTACTATTGTCAAATTTGATTCAAATGGATGGCGCAATGTCGTTTTTAAGCACTCAAGAAATGTATTAATAAACTGCAAGCGTACGCTCATGTCTTTTTTGTTTGTGTAATTTTTGAAGGGTTGTATCGGACAAAATTTGACGCTGCCCTCATTAATTTGGGGGAAGGGGGAGATAAAGTTTCATTAAAATGTTGTTATATAATTTTAACTTTTTTCCAAAAATCTTGATGCCTATACCACGTGTCTGGAAAATGGCGTATTAACTCTTCAGTACGTTATATACGGGAGTTTCGGGAGTTCCAACTGAAATGGTAATTAAACATGGTCATGGGCGAGAAAAATATTAACTAAAAGTTTTATTACTAGTTATTGTGATAATGAATGAGTTGTTTAAGTTGTTAAACGTAGCAAAAGAACCAATTTTAAAATCATTATAACTCCACCAAAATGTGAGGAGTAAAAATTGACACGGATTGATTAACTACAAGTGGAATGTGTGATTTTATAAAATGTAAATAACATTTACTTTTATCAAATTTGGAGATGGCGTCATGGTATTTCGTGAAGACCCGGGTTGTTATAAATGTTATAATGCAGAAGCGACAGAACTAAAGAGGCAAAAGGCAACATCATTTTCAAAGATTATTTATTTGCACACGGTTAAATCTGCAAAACCAAATGCTTTGAAATCTTGCAGATGTTTTAAAATTATCATAAGCATGGTAAATTTTTAATCAAAACATATAGCTTATCCCCCAAAAATTGATGACGTCACCGCAAAATTTTGCCGAATAAATCTTATCTAGAATGTCCAAAATATGATGAATTGATGAGTCTATGCTTGTGATTTCTTGCTGCATCTTTTTTTTTTGAGATTTGCTTATTCAGGCTGACTCAAAAAATTAATGAATGAATCAATTTACTTTATGATCAAATCAGAAACCGCAAAACCGAATGCTTTGAAATCTTGCAGACATTTTAAAGTTATTGTAAACATGGTAAATTTTTAATAAAAATGTATGTGTTTATTCCCGCAAAATTCTCATTAGATGTTGTTGATAGACATGTTATTCTGAGACAAATTATTTAATTACTATGAGAGAAAGTTCTAAAGTGAATAAATTTAGAGGAGCAAATATTGTTAACTCAATTTCTAATTTATTTTCCAAATATATATTTTGCTGTTCATGCTAGAGTAATTTGGCCACTTACTACTTTGTTTACTACTATTAGTACCGACCTATTTAATGCTTTTTTCACTTCTATAAATACTTTCGTGAGCCCTGGTATGGATACAATGAATATGTAATAAGTAGTAATTAAGTGCAGTCTGTGAAAACAAATGGTTTGCTAATTACTAGCTAATTTTACAATTTTTGTTATTGATTTTTTTTTTAATTTATTCCATATTTTTACTTCCCGAGCGTAAACTAAGGAAGTATAGTAATCGAATCTATCTAGCGACTGGCTATTTTCACGTTTTCTCGACCTTTCATGACCCCTTGATTATGTTTCCGTCTGTCTGTCTGTCTGTCTATCTGTCTGTCTGTGTCGATTTTTATTAGACAGATAAACTCCGAAACTAGTGGACCGATTGATGTCAAATTTTGTATGTATATTAGGAATATCATGTATAAGGTAAATCGCTATCATCCCCACCAACGGTTTGATGAAGTCATCTGAGAAGTGTCTACATTAAAATACATAATTTGACGAATGACGACTGAATGTAAAGCACGGAGTAAGTGTCCAAATAAATGATCAAATAAATACTACAGTCAGATGAGTCGCCTATCAAATAATTCAACTAGATTTCACTTTAGTTTTTTTTTTTTGCTATTTTGGTCATATTTATAATACCTAATATTATGTAATGTTATTATATTACAAGTATTATTTATACCACGACTGCACCCAATTTACTAAGTAAATAATATCTTTTTTAGATTTACAAAAACCTCAATAGCATGTTGCGCTGGTGCAAGTATTGAAATTACATATTTTATTTTAAAAACATACTAAATAAATCTACGAATCCTTTCAGTTTCATTATTACACGATAACAACAAAATAGATGTCATCATTTCACTTAAATAAACTACGAACTAAAACTACTTTCTCTTGGACCAAATAACAGGCGGAAGTTACACTTTGAAGTTATGCAAATACCACTGACTTACATCAGGTCCGTTGAAATCATCACGTTACCGTGTGCCGTTATAGTTTGTAACGCAAATTAACTATAATTCATAAGCAATAGTCAATACTAATTACTGTTACAAATGCAGTAAACAAATTTATACATTTGGAGTTTAGCTAATCAATATTTTGATAAGACAGAAGCAGATACGTAACTCAAACAAGAACTGAGATTTTTTTGTGTACCCACCTACATAAGTATTAAGTACAAATGTTATCAGGAATCAAAGTAGATGTAGACACTTTTATCGTTTTTATATAATGAAGGGAATGAACCTGAATAGTTTTTTTCATTTCGTTATGTAGGTTGTACGTTCCTTATCAACCAAAGCATGAGACAAAAGTGTAAATCTATTATTTTATAGATAATGAAGTACTTCTTATCGTTAAATGTGAAGTATTATCTAGTGTATGTACCTCCAATAAGTCAGTATTCATTCTCTAACTTCAATGAATGCATAATAGAGTTCTGTTTGAATTTATATACACCATCATCGCATAGTACGTCGAAAACAGGTAAGTTTTAAAGATTTTGTTAAAAAATATCTATAAATGGCAAAGGATGTCAAAAAGATTTTTTCTACAACTGTCAAAAAACTTTGTAGGCAATAAATGTTTTGATTTTTAAATGTACAGTGTAGTACATAATTATTACAACATTTTATAATGTTACTGTATGGTCAGAATTATAGAAAAACGCGGTTTTTAGAGAATCTG